GAACCCGGGACCTCTCGAATAGGCGACAGTATGAAACCCGGCGTACAAACCACTCGGTCACGGAGATCGTCATCACATATATCACCTATATTTAACATACCTACATCAATAGTGTCTACAGATTAAGTACGTAATGCATTTACGTAATTGACGCCGCAGTTGACTTGGTAAATATCCCAACTACTGAAAAGTTATCATTTGTATTTTTACAAAATTGTATATGTTATGCCTCCCATACATATTGACCGAGCTGAACCCAACGCGAGCGTAGGCAAGCTGATAAAAGGCAAATGTCACACTTTGGGCAGTTTAAAGAAGACCAATGCAATTGGCCAATATGGACGAGTTTTATAAAGACAAATTTTGGCAAGCGACGCCAAATGCGGTCTGTACACAGTGGTGCCAGGACCGGTGTTAAAAAATCTAGAGGCGTTTTAAAAAAGCAGTAGATGTATGTAAAAAAATACATTAAATGCAAAGGCGTACTTCCCCCCCCCCCCCCCTTGAATTGGTATATCAAATTAAGATATAGGTCAGTAACGAATATGTTTCTAGAAACTTCTGCCGCCCCTCAAAGCTCGATAAGGTTATATTCTTATTGGCAAGGAAAACGAGAAAGAGAAAATCTAAGAAAAACCTATAGATTCATGTAGAAAAACAGAAGAACAGGAGAACGGAAGAACAGGATTTCAGAAAAACAGGAGATCTCCTGTAATCCCGATTTTACCTCCTGTAAGACCTGACAACACTGTACTCTAGTGTTGCCGAACTATCGTTATTAAAACTATCGACAGATTACATCGAAAGTCATGTACCCTATCGATAGAATCGATACAACCGATAGTATCGATATTATCGATAGCTCAGAACAAGGCAATACTATCGAATGAGTGCAATACTATCGATACTATCGATACTATTGTAGTTCGTTAATAACAAACTATTGATAGTATCGATACTATCGATAGTGTTGAATTTATCTGCAACAATACTATCGATAGTATCGATACTAGCGATTGTTCTAGACTAAGTTTGTGATTGACTATAAAACCTGAAAATTGTAAACAATAATATTGCAAATTGTTAAACTATCGATAGTATGGTTGCAAATAAAATCGATACTATCGATAGTTTGTTATTAATGAACTACAATACTATCGATAGTATTTACCTCATCCGATAGTATTGGCTTTTTCTGTGCTATCGATAGTATCGATACTATCAATAGTAATCCGATCGATTGTCATACGATTGGTTGGCTATCGATAGACTATCGATTTATCATCGTTAGTCGACTATCGATCGGCAACACTAACTGTACTCCGAAAATTACGACCTCCGTAGTCGAGTAGTTTGAACGCTGGGTTTCAAGGTGTTGCCTATTCGAGGGGCAGATATTTGTGTGATGAATACGAGCATTTGTGTTATGCTTAATATGTATTTCTATATAAATATACTTATATATGTATCAGTGCATGTATTCTATATCCGTTACCCTAGTATCCCGTAACACAAGCTTCAGTGCTTATTTTGGTGCTAGGCTAATAGGTGTGAGTGTTGGTAATATTTATTATTCTTTATTTTTTATTATTAGGCAAGTGACATTGAGAGATGATGAACATGATATATGAATAATACCAAAATTAAATGCTCAGGCTTACTACTTGTGTTGGGGGAACCAGAAATAACGAGGACTAAAAAACCAGTGAACCAAATGTTCACCAAAACCTGATTTTAAAAAAAAAATGTATTTAATTAATTGAGAACTTCGGAGATTTTGTGTGGTTTCGTTTGAAATTCGTGATTTCTCGAAAACCGGAAGTGCTACGTTACTCAAATCCGGTTTGTAGTCTTATCAGACTATTCTTAACTTATAACTTAAATATTCTCTTTATCTATCTCTTACGGTTTGGCCGCTGAAACAGCACAACAGACGGACGGACTTGTCTAATAGATAAGAGATACTGCAAATATCCACACTTGATTATTGTATCAGTTCTTTAACAAAATTTCAACCAAGTCACCGCTGTTCGTTAAAGAAATGTTTTTTATAACATTAATCGTGGTAATTTATATATATATCTGGCTGGTTTTAAGTAAGAAGTAATTAATCTTTGCTCTCCTGTAAATTGAAATGTTATTTTTGGTACAGAGTCAAAGTTTAATTACCGAACGAAATTTAATATACTAAATAATCATCATCTATTCTGAGAAAAGTAGATTCAATTACTAAGATTGGTATGTGGTAACTTGTTATATTACTGTGGGGCGAGATTATTATTTCCTTCCCGTGCCGACGTTTTTACTAAAATGAGTGAGTATTAAATTTATTTACTGGTTATGATGATTTATATAATGACTAGTTGACCCAGCGAACTTCGTACCGCCCTAAAAAAATAAGGGTTGTCCAGCGGACAAAATTGTGAATCTAAACCATTCTCAGATCCCCTTGAACACACACAAAAAATTTCATCAAAATCGGTCCAGTCGTTTAAGAGAAGTTCAGTGACATACACACTCACAGAAGAATTATATATATAAAGATGTAATACTTTAAGGTATATATCTATAGGCCAACGTCGCCTGACTACAAATGAATAAATAACCTTAATATATGTAAAGTATGACAGTGTGAACTGCGCAGCGAAACACCAGTTCAGTTTTGCCAGGTCTCCAGACTTTACAGGAAATGTTCTGTTTTTCTTAGAATACGATTTTCTTTATGAAATTGCATGTTGAGTTGCATTTTCCGCCATTAATAATGTAGGTAAACTTAATAATTATAAAATTAATGTTATTATCTAAAACCTAACTAACTTTGAGGAGCGGCAGAAGCCACAGAAACACATTCGTTGCTGGTCGTTATTTTGATTTGATTTACCAATTCTAGGGGGGGGGGGGGGCTCCTGATTTTTAAAAATCGGACCTGGTAACTCTGCACTAGCTTGACTGAGACCAAGAAGTGATAGACATTTTATTAGGTACTAGTCCATCTCCCACGAGCTGAACAATTACCAACAGTGTAATTCTTTGCCTGCGCACGTGTTCCCTCCTTCCTACAATCTGGGGTCCTTTAAGTGAAGAAGCATTTTTGCAGGCCAGCAAGGTGATGATGGTTGGTGTAGCAGTTTATAACTGCTGTACCAGCTATCTTCGCCTATGGACTCTATCACCACTTAACATCAGGTGGGGTAGAGTCATTTGCCTACCTAGCTATAAAAGAGAAGTGTATCAAATTACGAACATTATCGATCTTATTATACTAAAACTAATATAAATCACGATGTTTTCAGCAACATAATGTATGATTACAGTTTATGCAATATTGCTTTATTTCACATCTGTATTTTTCTATCGAAAATAAAAGGAAAATAATAACTACACATAGATAAAATGTTTACTGGAAAAGATAGAGATAGCGCTGCCTTGCAGTTTAAGTAACACTAGAGAAAATTCGACACGGCCGTCAAGGGCGCGGTAGCATAATGGTCAGTACATTCGCCCGTATAGCAAAGGGTGCGGGTTCGACTCTGCTGCCTGGTCCGCATGGACTTTTTTCTAGTAATATTTTCTTTACATTTAAATATCTAGCAGCTTAATGCTCAAAAATCTCTTATCTATTAGACAAGTCCGTCCGTCCGTCCGTGGTGCTGTTTCAGCGGCCAAACCGTAAGAGATAGATATAGAGAATGTTTAAGTTATAAGTTAAGAATAGTCTGATAAGACTACAAACCGGTTGTGAGTAACGTAGCACTTCCGTTTTTCGAGAAATCACGTGATTTCTATTTCAAACGAAACCACACAAAATCTCCGAAGTTCTCAATTAATTAAATACATTTTTTTTTGGTGAACATTTGGTTCACTGGTTTGCTAGTATAATATCATAAAATAGTACGATTTTTACACTCTAAAAGTCGTAGTGCTAGTTTCAGCGACAAAAATTTGTAGCTAAATATTAGACATTTACATACAAGGGCAGCTGGCCCACCGCTGCCGACGAAGCGACTAACTATCGGCTATTTTCTCGCTCAAGGAACGTAGAATACATAAACATTCCGTTTGTACGCCGGCTTTCAAGGTGTCACCTACTCTAGAGGTCCCGGGTTCGAATCCCGGTGGGGGCAGATGTTTGTGTGATGAATAATTACAGACTTTTAAGAGTGGATATCTCGAAAACCATACAAGATATCAAAAAACTTGACTGAATAAGACTTATAGCAAATTTAATCAGCTTTCACTTTTGTTAGAGTCTCATGTCGCTAGGATGCATAGTTTCCGAGATATATGCGAAAAACCTAAAAATGGGACCTTCAATCCCCCCCCCCCCATTCCCCCCGGCTTAAGGGCTACGGGCGGGGACTTTTGATATGTTTACCTCCTAACTAGTCCTAACAAAGTTACGAAGTCAAAAATTGTGTTCCAAGCATTTCCCTCTATACCTGTTTTTGAGCATTCGTTGCCTGGACTATTATCCTGGTATCCCATAACACAAGCCTACAGTGCTTTCTTTGGCGCTAGTTGGTGTTTTGTTTTCTATTTTTGCGTGAAAATCTTAATGCGATTCACAGAATACACATTCTTACCACGTTTCAACAGTATAGTTCTTATAATTTCGGAAAAAAGTGGCTGTGACATACGGACGGACAGACAGACTGACAGAAATGACGAATCTATAAGGGTTCAGTTTTTTTTCCATTTGGCTACGGAACCCAAAACACGATCCAACTTTGCTTTGCTTTTGTTTAAACATAACTAATACAAATCTTTCGTCTTTGTTATTCTGTTTTTTTATTTATTTGCGTTTCTTTTTCTCTTTCTATTTTTGACTACCAATTCTATTTTCAAAGAAGTTAAGGTATAATGAAACTTAATAATCATAATTCCAACAAATACCAGATATGTATCATTCGGTTATCATTTTTCTGTATACAACAAAATTTCTAAAGAGCTTTTAAAATAATGATTTTACTACCTATGAAATAATAACAACATTTCCTTACCCTCCATTTCTTTACTTCGGAAAGACGGTTAGCGATGACACAACCAGCTGACCCTGCACCAACCACAATAAAGTCATACACTTCAGTAGCATGCCTCTTTTTTCTTCTTTTGCTTTTCTTCTTATCACCAGCTTCAGCTTTTGCAGTCCCGGCCTCAGGCTTGGCAGTCACAGTAACCTTCTTTGTATCTGCTGCGTCAGCATCGAAAAAATCTAGCCTTCCATCGAAAAAGCTGGACTGGAACTTCGGTGGTTCATTCTCGAAAACTGATGTTAAACTCGGCTTCAGAAACAATGACGCATCGGAAAAGCCGTGACTGCCTTTTGGTCCGAAACTGTGCGCTTGGATCCTATGGTCCACGGGCGCATCGAAATCTAGCGAAGGTCCGACTCCGTGATGATCTGGTCCAATATGCTTCAGCGGCGAAGAATAATAATCACTTGGATACGGCTTAGGGTATGGGTTGAAAGGAACTCTACTATCTTTGGAGCCCCCGAACAGCCGCGCTAGTAAAGCTAAGAACATGAACCCAGTTTCCGAACATTGCGTCAATTGCGCATTCTGTTCTGGACAAATGGACCCAATGTCAGGCGGCTGCCAAATTTGCGAAGTCATTTCTCACACACTCACTTGCCAGAACACGATTGTTTGAGTTTTCCGTGGCGCACTGTTTAAAATTTAAAACTGAGTTTTGTGTTGCGCAAAAGAAGCGACGCAGCATGCACTTTGTCACGATTAATTTTTACAGGTGTAGTACTTAATAACTGTCAAAAAGCCCGGTTTTCCTACGTAGTGTAGTTTAATATCTTAAAATAACAACTAAGTTTTTTTTTGTTTTTTTTTTTATTTTAATCCAGTTGTTCTATGGATAGAGTTTATTAACTAATTTTGGTCACTCAACCAAATTTATTAACAACACAGTACCTAAGTTTTTTAAAAGAATAGGAATTTGGGGCTTGTTCTGAACCTGAAAACTCAAGTGACTGTAGTAGAATATCCTGTTATTGGAACATACCGAAGGACCTATTCTTTGTACTGCACGCTGATCGGTTCTTTCGCGAAACACTAAATACCCCTTGAATGCTAGACGCTAACTGCAATACTGTTTAATCACAGGCACATGTCTGTGCGCTTGCTTCGACTTTTACCACAATAATGAACGGTGCACTGCGCTACGCTGAAAAGTACCATTTACCACAAACCGATCTTATCACATTGCGAGATCGCATGCCTCAATTCGTTAAAATATACAAATTGGCGTGAATAAATGTACTTTACGGCGTAAATTGATCGTCGATAATATAATTAATTAAATACAGATTCTCACGTCAATCGTATTATTTATTAGTTATTGGTGGTATTCATTATGTCAGACGTAATTATTGTGCTATATTATCATACTTACATAGCTATAAGTAGGCATAAAAACAGGATTGTTATGAAACCTTTTTGTTTGACCTAGTGGTAAAATCTACACTTGTAGTACAAAGCTGAAGATTTTATTTGATTGCTTATTTGTTAGTTTGGTTGAACGCGGTAATCAAAATAAAAAAAATCTTTTGAATAGGGTACGTATCGAAGAAGGCTAAAGGCTAAATAACATAACGCTACGACTAATAGGAGTAGAGCACCAATGAAGAAGGTTGCAGAAATGGAGAGAAAAAAAACAATCTGTGAGTTTCCGTTGGATGCCCACTATAAACTTTGTTTAAGGGTGACCGAGTATATACTTTTCCCAAATTAATGCGGGATCCACAGGCCAACTCTACTCTTCTATAATGATACGAAACCGTCATTAGCAAATCGGACTCATATTGGCAGTTTCTTTTTCATAAGAGATATACAGTACAAATATTTACAGATTGACATGTATTCCGATTTGACATAATTGTAGATTGTGTTTATGATATTGTAGAGATAATAACGAAATTAATAATTGAAATTGTTACCTTAATAATTAATTTATTATTGAATCAATCGACATTGCCTGATATAAAGACAGATTGTTGAACGAATTTATAAGTTGTATTTTCAGTGTCCAATTTTCAAATTAATGAATTGAAATTTAAGCGACTGCTGCCATGTAGGTTGTTTTTAACGAATCCTACTTACTCTGTTATCATGTCACTTGCAACAATGCCGAAATACATATTTATTTATTTAGGCATGCTAACAGTCACACATATTCATACATTAATGAATGGGTCGGATACTATACAGTTTTCTAATATGCAGACCAATTATAAGTATACACAACAATCACAATAATGTTAATAAACAACTTGATATAATTCAACTGATTGACCTGATCACAAATCTATGTATTTTAAACGACTATATTATGGATAGATTGATGGACTGCGAACATAAATTACTATACTGTTGGACCATGAAAGTTTAAAACAATATAATGTATTGAAATTTGAATAATTGCATTGCACTGCGAGCTAGTATGCATTTGGACCGTAGTCGCCGCAAGTTAACAAACCCGTGTAACGAATTAGCAACGTGGCTTTCTCTCCGCTAGTTCAAGGTCATTATTCTCGTGACCGCTATGCAAGGTTATATTTTTTATAATAGAAATATGCAAGTACACAGAATAAAAAGGGAGAGTAAATAGACGTTTTTTTAAATTATCTTTAATTTTTTCCTGAAACTATCGGTTGTGGCCTGCGCAGACTAAGTACTTTTGTACGCGGAGAACAAAAGTCCCTGAATTGTGAAGAAAAGTTCGCCGAGAAAATCCTATAAGGATATATAATTTTTCAGTAAAATTGAAAAACGTCATCGTTACTGTCTAGTTATCCGCGTTTTCGCAAAACAACTAGGCTTTTCGTGAAAATTCGACTTATCAAATCATCCTCCGATATGCGAGTATTAAATAAATTTACACCAATTAGCCTAGCCCCAAAGTAAGCACTGTAAGGCTTGTGTTATGGGATACTAGGGTAACGGATATAATACATATACCTGTACATATATAAGTATGTTTATATAGAAATACATATTAAACATCTATGACTGGAGTACAAATGCTCGTATTCATCACCCAAACATCTGCCCCCACCAGGATTCGAACCCAGGACCTCTCGAGTCGGCGACACCATGAAACCCGGCGTACAAACCACTCGCCCACGGAGGTCGTCAATATACGACTTAGTACTTACACGTAAAGTATAGATTATAAAAATAATACTACATTTTTATAACACAAAAATTGCGCAATCGACAGCGTTATATAAAAATCAATTCCGAAAATTATTACTGATGAAAGCCAACGAATTATCATTTTTAATGAATGAAATCATGTAAATAAAAGAATCGCATCAAAAGTTGCGATATGAACGTACAGACGTGCTTGTGACTTCAGCTTAATTATCACTTGTAGTAGTAGTAATAATAATTACAACACTAATATATGTAATAACTGTATTAATCGTTACTAAACTGCCCAAAGTGCCGATTTCACGCGCAGTTTTCCAAATTGAAAAGGATAAAATTAGGTATTATTTTGTATTAACAATCAATATGGACGATTTCCGTTTATTGGAACTGAACTTTAATTGATATATTTTTTTTTATTCATAAGTCCGACAAATGACTCCGCCCCACCTGACGTGAAGTTAAGTAACGGTGGAGTCCAGACGCGAAGATAGCTGGTACAGCAGTGTTACCTGCCACACCAGCCATTCTCACCTTGCCGGCCTGCACATTGCTTCTTCACGCCTCTTCTATATGAACCCGGGTTGTAGGAAGGACGGAACAGCTCCAAGGCATACTCATTTTTGCATCGCATTTTGAAACTTTCTTAATCATTTTTGTTTCGAACATCGCGATGTTTTAAACAAAAATGATTATTGGCGATATCTCCCGTCATTTCTAGTCGGTCTATTTCCTTTTGTAAGACTAATTTAATCGTTTCTTTTAAAGAATTGGTATAGCCAAAACCGAAATTATTAGTCCAACGAAAATTCTAACTATTCTAACAACAAAATGCTAAGTAGAGCAAAACACGAATGACTTATTTCTCTTTCCAAAAAAAAGGTAGTATTATGAAACAAATCTGCGACGATTTTTTGCTTCAACTTTCAGCACACCCCTCTATTCCAAAGTGTTCGTATTTAGTGAACTATTTTTTAAATTAAATGTCGTAACGCACCGATAATTTTATCTTCCTCTTTTAAGAACATCGATTATTATCTAACATTGACGAGGCACGTCAGTGAATGTTTTATTTTTAGTTTTTTAGCATTCAGTAGACGATTTATTGTTGAGTGTTTTGTTTTTCAGTAAGAAATATTCTTGAAGCGTTACCTTCTTCGTGTCTAATTATTTTTGTTTGTTTTTTAATTACTTAAAGAGGCATTCCATTGATCATCATCATTATGCATTCTTTTGACATTTACAAATATTTGTTTAAAATCATTTCTGTGATAAAAATGATGAAATGCACAATGCGATTTTCGGTAATATAGAAAGTGTACTCAATAAAAAATCTATTTGCGGGGTTCCTTACTAAAAGGAGTTTAATAGTTCATGAAAAAACCAACAGCTATTAGAATAAATAGGTACATAAGAGTGTTACTCTAGCAAGCAATAATAAGCTAATTAAATATACACCGAGGTACTTCTCAAAACGTATACGAGGAGTAAGGAAAGATATTTTGAAATTCAATATCTTAAGGGTAAACCTTCAATGTTTATATGGCGAAAAAAAACATACAAATATTTCGTCTCAGTATCTCGATGTAAAAGTACTCCTATAGATAAATATAGACAAACATGTGTTTCATGATTTTATGAGATTCAAACCTTTAAAAGATGAAATTGGGTAAATTCTGTATTATACCGACAAGAAATAAGATGGATATTTCGAAGATCAACCCTCAAAGGGGTAAAATGGGGATTAATAGTGAGTTGTGATAAAGTAGGTAAAATAAGAAAGCTCAGAGTCGCACAGCGAGCGATGGAGAGAGTTATGCTCGGTGTTTCTCTACCTACGTGACCGAATCAGGAATGAGGAAATGCATAGAAGAACTAGAATAACCGACATAGCTCAATGGACCACATAGCTAAAGTGGCAATGAGCGGGACACATAGTTCGGCGAACCGATGGACATTGGGGTCCCAAGGAGCTTCAATGGCGACCTCGCACCGGGAAGCGCAGTGTCAGTAGATCCCTCACCAAGTGGACTGACGACATCAAGCAAGACGGGAGCGAATCCACTGGATGCGGGAAGTGCAGGACCATTGTCTAAGGAGGAAGAAAATCCCTGAAGAGGTCTATGTGCAGTAGTGGACGTCAATCGGCTGATGATGATGATGATATAATACAGTCAGATGACTTCGTTTTTCGAATCATTCATCACGTTGCCAATTCGGTGTCCGAAATGACCGCACAAATATATTTAATAAAACACTTAAAACTGTAAGATTCCCGTGATGTTATTAAAAAAAATAAAAAAAGCTAAAATGAAAAGGAATTTCATGAAACATCAAATGAACATAATATGATATTAAATATCTGCTTTGAAATGATATGTTATAAATGTCATAAATGAATCTTATTTCACGTTTCATACCAATTTTAGTCACCAAGGTCTCTGTAGCATAATGGTCAGATATTCGCCTTGACAGGGAAGGGTTTGGTTCGATTCCACACTCATACCATACTTCTCCTGAGTTTAACCATAGATATAGAAATCTAGCAGTCTAAATCTGTATATATGTCGCAGGCAATTTGTGAAATTTCGTATTTTACAAACGGCGTCGTCCTTTTAAAAACGCTCGCTGTTTTAAAACATGCCGAAGGCAAAATGTAAATTCTCTTGCCACTTTATAATATACCACAAGATTTGATTGGCAATCCAATCGGAGTTTACAAAGTGAGAGAGAGAGTTTTTAGGAGTAGGTACCTGATGAGGAGCCACCTGTGAAGATACTTTATGTAAGAAAGAGATGCCAAGACTGTTCTGCCAAAAAAGATAGAAAACTAATACTTTTCGGAGCTGTATATGCAAATACATCTGCAGTGAGCATGCAATGATGCACTGCCGAGATTGCGCAGATGATAAGGATACTATGACTGACGTATGAGACTGATACAAATAGTATAATATTATTAGTTTACTAAAGATTTGATTAACATGTAACAAAATAGTTTATGTTATAGAAAAAAGTTTGTTTTGTTAAAATTTTATTACTTTAAGACAGAGGTTGTCCATTTTGTTAATATTTTGTGACACTTTTATGAAAATGACATTAAAAAGATAGTTTCGTATCATGTTGTGTTTTTTTCTTCTCAAACCCTATAACGATAATCGTTTTATACAGATAGTACAACCACAAACCAAATTTATTTT